ATGTCAGTTTATGCTTTCATCCAAGCTTCAGAAAAGCCGAACCCTATTTCTGACTTCAACATGCTGACCAATGACGTTGTGAGCCCTCGACGTGAGGATGCGAATCGAGGTAAAAACTGGGTTGTTGTAAGAGGGTTCCTTTTGCTCATGTCTTGCGTTAAGGAAAACTTCCCGGCCATGAGTGGAGTATTTTAGGTTGATAGTTATTCACATTTGCGTTCCCCCTCTCCACGCTTGGTGCCGGTTTCTTCGGAAAGCTGATGAAGTTCGTTGAGAATTCGCTAGGGTGGTTGATAGGCTTAGAAAGAAGGTCGTACCGATAGAGAAGTCGGGGGGGGGGGGTGGTGGGGGGGAGTGGATTGGAAGCCGCCACTCACTCATCGCCACATTGTACCGTGGCTGATGTAGTCCTACCTGCTCGGAAGAAGGAAGCAAATCCGATAAGGGTCCATCTTAAACCAGCGAACAAAGAAAAGATAATTCTCGCCTCGAGGTCACGTCGTAGGTTAGTTACCACAAAGATTAGTACTGCTCGCTGTGTCACCCCTTTGCATAATTTTGCCTAACATGCCTTCCCTTCTAGAAAATCTTTACAGCAGTCCTTCTACCGTACAGTAATCGGATGAATTTCTTGGAGAGAACAATCAACATGCTTGCTCATGCCTTTGCTGATTTCGTTTCCTATCAGTTTGGGAAGAGATACAAGGTGAATTTGCAATTTTATCAAAGTTCCTTATTGGGCACATAAGGAGGACCATGCTTGTGCTTGGCTTCCGTCTATGGGCACGTGCGACACGGCAGCTGAGCTACCTCTTTGTTTTTGGCTCCCTCAGTATCACTCATTTGTTCATTTGTTCAATGTTGTCCATTAGTTTTCGGTTTCAATGATTGTCCTTCAGGGGAGGAGGGGGGCATCCAGCTAGTTTGTTGGCTTCTCTAGTTTCCGCATTGGTGAAGCCCGTTAACTCTTGCAAAGCTATAAAATTGCGCCTCCGTTCAGCGCCGCTTTGATTAGAACTGTAAGCCCTTGTAAGCCCACGAAATGGCATGAGTTCATTGTTTATGCCTGCCATAGCTTCACAAGAATTGGTGGTTTTTCACAAGGTATTCTCTACAGGCGAACTACCAAGATGTCCCCCCCCCACTCCCGAAGCCCGATTTGCCCTTTTTCCTACAGTAACTGCAAGCAGCATACACGTTTTACAAAACTCATTTTTAGAAGGTGTGGAGTCGTCATGGTGTTGAAACCGATGAACAATATTACAAGGATAGAATCAACTATTTACTGTTAAATTCGGACGAATTCCTCGACTTCGCTCAACCAACTTCTCCGAAAATCGTTTATATCGGTGGTATTACATTACAAGAAATAACTCCGTTGTCAGAGGTAATGGGATTAGGCGCTCAGCCAAGCATGTTCCCTTAACGGACTTACTCAGCTTGCCCTAATCATTTCTCCAGAGATTACAACAAATTATGGAACGGACGAAAATGGGTGTGGTTTACATCTCATTTGGTTCAGCTCTACCAACTAAAGAGGTAAAGCAACTGAGACATAAAGAATTGTGCACATCTGGCTTAAAGTGCAGGCGGCTCACGTTCATTCTGATGTTCCTGCGGCCTTCTGATATCGAATACCCCTAGCTCCCTATAAGGATTGCAGTGTGTACTTAGTTTTTGCATCTCAAAAGGCGAGCGCAGGCGCCGTTCGCGTGTCATAAGAGTCGGCCTCTCCGCCCACCTGGCCAGCATAGGGTTCTATATAGGGCATTTTTCCATGATTTTTTCTGCTTTTTTCTTCACTGCTGGATCATGTGTTATATGAGCTCCCTCATTATTCTTGAAAGCGTGCTCAGCCTTTAAAGGCTTAAGCCAAAGCAGGGTGGGCGGGGCGGCATGCCTCCTTCACGAAAGCTTGATGGCGCCATCGCTTCGCATCTTTAAAAGGCAGCGGCCCGAGCCGTTTCAAATTTAATGAGTAGTTGCGGCGTCAGGCTAAGTAACAGCGAGGTAGCAAGAAGCCTATTAGTGAAGAAAAATCGAAGAGAAAACACGCAAAATGCCCTAGAAGGAGTTTCATACCGAACAACGGTTGTACGTGCTTAAAGGCAGCGTCCGCGATCAACCAAAGTGAAAAAACCCTCCATTGAAAACGAACGCGGAGTTCGCAATCACAGCAGAAATCCCACTCTTGCGGCTCGAAATCGATTGGTTGACGAGGGCGGAGTCAACAAGGCTGAGCTGACGCCTCCTTTCCTGTTAATCCCGCCCCGACTGGTTAACAGTTATCAGTGCTTGCTGGCATTGATAAACGCTAAGTTTCTGGAGTTCCGAGGCGGCGACGTGTATTGGAGAACTCACCAAAAGTTTGCGAAACTCGTCCACATGCCTTAAATTTCATAGGGTCTTATTTCACGCTCTTCCACACCTTTTTCCTGCTTTTTTTGATTAGTGCTTCATTGGCCACCTGTTCTAGCAAATGTGACCCCTGAAACCTGCCAAAGTCCATCGCGGGCGCTGTCCTTTGAAGGCGAAGAGAATGGAGTCGGCTTTTGCAGGCGGAGTTCATATCAGCTGTTTTCCCTTATGACCTCACTCTCACCACTCCACGTGGAGAGAAGCAGCAATGGAACAACCGCACCATCAAGCAACCATTAGAAATAGACAGTTGGGGTGCGGGTGGTCGGCCAGGTGGCGGAGCCGTCGGCTCTTTGCGGGCGGACGCCGCTGTTCCGTCGCATTTTTGGGTTGCGAAACATGCACGTCCACCATCCTCATAGGGGAGCTACTAGATCCAGAGAGGGCGTGAGAACAACAAATGAAACGGCGGGCGCTGCCTTTAAAGCTGCGAAATTAGTACATCCTCCACCCTTGTCGACAAAGCTACGATATCTAAGGAGGATGTAGGATCATGAGATGAACGCAGGCGCTGCCTTTAACAGCTGAAAGTACAGCTCGCTGAAGCACTATTTGAACAATCCGGAAAGGAATCCAGCGCACTTTCGGCTTGGGGAGGGCGAGGGACATTTCGCCCTTTCGGCTACTTCACGTCGTCGTGTTCATTGCTTTACAAGGGTTCATAGGTATTCTTTAAGTGACAGTAGTGTAAAAAATTCCCTGCCTGATCTGCACATGGGCTCACAAATATTCCACGAGTCTGTATTTGATGGGTCGATACGACGATGGGAAGTAGCAGTAGTGCAAAGCCCCACTCCACTATCCCCTTCCCAAGCCAGACTGCGCCAAAAAGTTTGGCAGAGTGGATACATTTGATTTCATTCCATTTCAGATGCCCGAACCCTTCCGCGAAGGCATAATCGAGGTAGCGAGGACGTTTAAAGATTATGACTTTATTTGGAAGGTTGATGAAGGCGATTCAGTACAAGGCGTCCCAAATTTGCACTTATTCAGTTGGGTCAACAGCAAGCACTTTTTAATAGGTGAGCGAGTTCTGGCATTCAGTGAGACCGCGGCTATGTGTGAGTCGTACCGAGCATATACGCAATGCATCCCGCAAGGCAGGTTTAACCTTAATCCCTCCATAGAAAAAGCGTCTTGTTGGCCCTGTAGATTGAGGAGCGTCACTGCCGGACGCGGCATCGCAGTACGAGTTGACTTGGAGGGTTTATAGCCGCGCAGCGCCGCTTACGGCGGAGAAACAGTAGTAGCGCTTTGCGTCGACTTTCTCTCCCATGTCAACTTACTGCGATACCGCAACTGGAAGGTAAGGCCAGACACTCGGCCCTACACGTTCTCGACCGTAAACTGAAGACTCTTAAATGGAGTGACCCGAAAATCTACAACTATATCTTTCAGCCCACCCAGGTCTGCGATGTTTCGTGTCACATGCGGGTATGAACAGTATCCTGGAGTTAACGAGAAGTGGAAAACCATCAATCCTCGTGCCGGCCTTCGCTGATCAGCTTAGGTTCGCATTTTGAAATTTTAACATTTTATAAACAGGGGCTCAAAGGTCAAAATAGTGAACTTGTTTCTTTGCAGAAATGCTCTTCTGGTGGAAGTGAAAAACACAACGATTGTGATATCTAAGGAGAAGTTCAATCGTGACACATTCGCGGCTGCACTTCAACAAATACTCAGTGATGAAGGGTAAGGGAACACAAGTCAATTATAAGTTAGAAAAGTTTTATGTGCAAAAATGGCAACTCCTAAAATATCACCCTTCTCTTATGGCTGATATCGTCACAATCAGGCGGGGCGGAGTCAGGAGGGACGAGATAGGCCTATCTAACAGCAGCTCTCACGATATAGAAGATTTTGATTCATGCTTCGGAAAAATGGGCTGTAAAAAGGATAGATATAGTCTTTTTCTTCCGCGGATGAAGGGGCTTTTAGTGAAGCTGGCTTTGGCGCGCTGGCAGCCCGTTCTCTACCGGTTGCTGAAGCGGTTGAGTGTCAACAACTGGTGGGAAATAACTGATACGAACGACATGATACAGCTCTGATG